ACTAATTGAAGAATTCTCTAAGCACTCTAGAGAATATCATAACCCAAGGAATGAACTAAGTCAAGGGGTGGTGAACTCAGTTAATGATAGCATGGCAGCAATGATGGCTAAGTTAGAGAATTTGGATCGAAGAATGACTAAGATGGACCAATCCATCAATGCAATTAGGGTGGGTTGTGAAAATTGTAGAGGACCTCACCTCACTAAAGATGTGATCTTGACGAGAACAGAAACCGAAAGGTGCAAGTGTGTTATTCAAGTGGTGATAGGTATGATAACAATTAGCGGAAACCCAAGAAAGAATGGCTACCTTATGATGAGTACAAAAAAGAAAATTAGGAGAAGTATAAGCAAAAAGAAAGGGGATTTTATCAAAAAGAGGACCCGGTACTAGAGAAGAAATCTGACTTGGAAGATATGTTTACAAGATTTGTAGCCGCGTTCGAGAAAAGGCACAATGATACCGACGCTGAAATGAAGGAGCAACGAAATATGCTTAGAGAGCACCAATCTATGATGATGGATCAACAAATTGTGCTTTGGAATCAAAAAGCATCTATTCATAACATTGAAAAACAGCTAGGCCAGCTTGCACAACAAATCAACCAAAGAGCAACTGGTGAACTTCCTAGCAATATTGAACAGAATCCCAGAATGGCGCATGGCAACAACAACAAATTCTGAAACAATTTTCACTCCTCTGACCCCTGTCCAGAAGAATCCCAACAAGGTGCAAACAGAAGAGGTAAATAGTTGGGAATCAAGTAAACCCGACTCGACTCGCCAAGTCGCTAACAAGGACTCGACGAGTCCAAGACCTGATGACACAAGCAGCTTTCTTTTGAAACCTTATCGGGCCCCTTTGCCATTTCCGAGCCGAGCCATACCTAATGAGCAGATTCAAGAATATAGGAGGTTTATGGAGCACATAAGGGCACTCCAATTGAATATTCTGTTTGTTGAAACGATAGTTCAAACACCAAAATATGCATGTTTGCTTAAAAACCTCTTTACAACTAGAAGAAATATGGAAGAAGTTGTTGAAATAGTGTTGAATGAACTGCCAGAAAAGAGGGGCGACCCGGGAAGCATCACCGTACCTTGTCAACTTGGGAACATAATGACCACATGAGAATTGACTGATTCAAGGGCAAGTATTAATATTATGCCATATTCCTTCTTCCAAAAGTTAAACCTTCCGGTCCCAAAGCCTATTTATATGAAAATCCATTTGGCTGACAAAGCGATAATGCATCCAATGGGAGTGTGTGGAGATCTTCTTATCAAAGTTGATAAACTAGTATTTCCTATTGACTTCATAATATTAGACATGGAGGAAGACCTTAAGGTACCAATCATTCTTGGGCGACCGTTCTTGAATATGGCTTGTGCCTTGGTAGATATGCATGAATCTACGCTAACATTAAGGGTGGGGGATGATTCGTATTTTTAAAGCTAAGGAAAAGGATAAGCACATAGAGTCAAGAGAAGATAAAGTTTCCTCAATAGATTTGGAGGATGAATTGTTAGAAAAAGAGCTTGCGTGCTTGCATGAAATCAATCCAAGTCAATTCTTATTATCTTTGGAATAGAATTCTGATGCCAAAGGAGATCTGGAGGAGATAGAGAGGCTGATCAAGGAAGCTGATTATCAAGAAAGCCTTAATAGTATTGGAAACTCGTCGAGTCGTACCCTATGACTCGACGAGTAAATACAAAAAATCCTGATTTGTTGAAGATTTTAGTTTGCAAACCATTAGTACCCTTTATGAACCAGATGTGTACGTTTTGCCTGATTACGTGGAGAATCTTCTTGAGGAAAGCAAAGCCATTAAAGATTTCGTCAACTTTTAGAATGCACATTTGGCTTATCTTGAAACAATTGTGCTAAATGATGAGGCTACCCAAGAAGAGGATAAAGAAAGTTTAGAAGATAATGGGGATAATAAAACATGGAATAATGATAACCATAATTCTTTCATTGAATCACATATAGCGATGTCAACCAAAATCAAAAGAACCAAGCCTCATTCCCTTGTCTCTACTACGTTTGAAGTTTTCACTTTTAGAACACCGGATTCTTTAATATGTGATGAAAGTGAGGAAGAATCTATGCCTTCAAGTGATGATGATGAGTTAATGACCGAAAAAGGCAACCGAGGAAGATAAAGAAGGAAGGGAAACGATGGGGTGTGAAAAGGAAGAAGTGAAAAAGAAGAGGCATAGTAAAGGGATAAAGCGTAAAGCTGAAGAAATTGCTGCAAGAAAGAGAATGGAAGAATTAAAGAGGGTATATAAGAGAAGAATCTATCTTTACAAGACAAAATACAAAGTGCAAAAACTGAAAAAGGATATCCTAATTGAGGAAGCAGCAACAACATAAAGCGGGATGGAGTCCAGCTAAAGACTCCTCAAAAAGAAGCGTTTAACGGGAGGCAACCCGTTAATAGAGTTTGCTTTTCTTTTCATTTTTATTTTTATTTTTCGTTTTTGTTTTGTGTGGTTTTCTTAGAATTTTTTTTCAAATCTCCATTTTCTTTTCATTTTTATGCTTGAAGAATCCCACCAACCAAATTTTAAAAAACATAAATTAACTAAATTTTATAAATAAATAGAAAGTACATTGCTATTTGAAAACAAAAATTAGAAAATGCATTGCTATTAAAACTAGAAAAATAGAAAGTACTTCATTTCTTTAACATCACAAACCTTAGGATTTGAAGCTTGAAAATCAATTTTGATCTTATTCGAATTAGACATGATTCACTGTATATCAAGCATAATATTAATAAGACCTAATGAGGAAGAAGTGTGTGTCCTGAAATCTAAAGCATAATGAAAAAATTAAGATAAGTGTTCTTTGGAATTAACCTTAAGATCAGTGATAACATTTTAATCAAATCTTAGAGTTTATAGTAAAAGAGTAACAATTATACAATCATAACTTCATAATGGTTAGATGTAGTTTGTTACATGTTTAACTTATAACAATAAAACTTAGTTTTAAGTTGGTAACCATTAACATTTGGTAATATTGATATGCTAATCTTCATAGCACAAAATCTCGGTTCGTGTTGGTATGGATTAACATTGATGTGTTAATACAAAACGATATTTATATCAAGCTTTGAATTATTAAGTATAGTTATATATAAGGAATTAACTAAGTAAAGTATTATATTCACACAAAGAAACTTGGTTTTTGGTTTCTTTTCATGATGTTTCCAGCAATTTTTATCTAAAAAGAGCAAAGTTTTTTGGTTTTTAAAAAGTTATCATATGTAACAATTCATAAAACCGTAAAAACAACATTTAAAACGCATAAATTGTCCACATCAAACGCGCACTACATAACGCAGTTTTAAATTTCAATGAGGCGGTTTACGGTTTTGAAAAAAAAATTGAAATTGCATATACGGTGTGATTTGTTGTTTTGACTCTAAACCACATCAAACCGCATTGTGAATACCCCTACTAAATGATATGATGATTGTTATGAAATACGTATGCAAACGTTGAAGTTATGTTTTCATACTATTTCATCAAATAGCCCATTTTTGAGTTAAAAATTATAACTTTCCGACATCCAAATTGGGAGAATAATATATTCATGGATGACTCTTTGTTACAAAAAACGCAATGAAAAAAATCAGTTCAAACAGGTTTTGGATGGACATAGTACTCTAAATTTGAATGTCGACAAGTCCTACTTTTTAGATTCAAATAGACTATTTGGTGAAAAATATTAATAAGTTTGGCATACAAACTCTATTTGAACTTAATTTTTCTTTCATTGCGTTATTTGTAAAAAGGGTCATCCATAGTAATATTACACTCTTAATTTGAATGTTGCAAATAATAGTTCTTTTAGCTAAAAAGTATTTTATTCGGTGAAAAACTACGAAAACAAACTTTATAAGTTTTGCTTTCGAACTTTATAATAAATCATTTTACTATTTGGTTTACAAAAATCTACAAACAATTAAAAAAAACATTTTTGCACACTACTATACCTACAAAAATTTCAAAAAAAAAAAGATAATAATAATAATAATTACAAGTCACTTAGATTTTCACAAATGTACCTACAAAAATTATGATTATTTTATATAGTTTTTATTTTTATTTTTTTTATTATTTTACTAAAAAAACTAAAAAGAAAAGACTACTATGATCGTATTTAAAATTAAAGTCATAATAAATTAAGGAAAATGACATATATGTCATGTTATGTTTCTAAAGTTTACCTATTTAACCACTTAACTTATTTTGTGGCTTTACAAGGGAACGAATTATCTATTACCTACCAATATAATCCATTTCACCTATTGTAGGTGGTTTACATTGCAATATAAGCCTAGCCTAACACATAAGTGATGACATGACAAGAATTTTAAAGTGTCCAATAACCGTAACGACATCGTATTAAGTGTGAATTGTAGCGAGCATGTTTTGACTGTTCAGACGCCTTCGTACAAAATCAATACTTATTTGCCCTAAAATGGCACATCTGCAAACTTCATTACCTCAATATCGTCTCTAAGTTTACTCCAACCCTAAAATAGCACAAAGTGATGTAAACAAAATCATGGTTGGAATGTTGGTTAATATATTGTTATTAAAAAAAATTGTCTTACACCTTTTTCTGTGTGTGTGCATGAACGAATGAAATATTTAAGGATTATATATGTTTTGTTAACTTGTTCCCAATCATGTGGATCTTCATTGACTGGGACGGGATCACAAGCCAAAGAAAAATGAATATACCTTTTTTATGCAATTACACAGGGATCACAAATGGTGCAGTTAGGGAAAAGTGACAAAAGTAAATAATAACTTTGCATACGAGGCACAATGCTCCTTTTCTATAACCCTTTTTGGAAAAAAACATTTTAAAGTACGGAAACCTTGTAACATATACTTCAACTTAGTGAAGATTATTTATTCTAAATAATTCTCTATAAAAAAATCATTTTTGACGTTTATCGTCTCTAAATTGACTAGCCCGAATCTGCGGGCGTTACATCATGCATGTTACTATTCCCAAAATGGTCTACATACATAAGGAGTATATCACCACATTCATATGCAATTGCTATAAAGTCGAAATAATTTGGGTCATTGCTAATTAAAGTTAAACCTTTTGGAAAATCAATATCAGGTTGACAGTAATAGAGTGTCTCACACTTTTCCCCGGTGAACCTTTCGATGAACGCAACACACCCGTCGTTGTCTATGCCTGCGAAATCGATGTTTGAAAACCTCTGAGTAATTCCATCGGTGTAGCGTATGGGGTTTCTGGCGAACATTCATTGGAAGTGGACATCTACTTGTACAGGTTCCATGTTTGAGGATTCATAAGAAGATAACAAGAAAGGGTTTATCGATGAAGTGCGAAACAATGGAGGTAAAATGGCTCTTTTATAAAGCATATATCGACAGTAAGAAGGAAGCATCTAATTAATGATATGGCATTACATGGAAATCACCGTTAGCATCTGATGTAGTGTTAGTAGGAGGTGGACTAAAAATGACCGGGTAACCCATTCATAATTACAATAAGGAATAAGGACTTAATCGACCCCAAAAAATGTGTAATTCGTTCCTTTATTAAACCATAAGATAAATTAAATGGCTAAATGGATAAATCCTAAAAACATAATAGGGCATATATGTCATTTTCCATGATAGATTAAGAAAATAATCATGTAAAAGAAGTTTTAGGAAATAGTTGTGGAAGTAGTGATCATATGATAGGGCTATTCTATTTTTAAGATTGGGAGAAGCATGGACCGTGACATCCAACTGGAAAACCATTTATAGGAAAATAAACATTTCACACTCACAAATCGGACAGCGAAATATGCACTAGATCTCTCCCGCAGATCCCAATTCCTAACGCCAAATTCTTCGGATCTTCGATATGGCGTCATCACGGCGTCTCCGGGACCTCCAATCGCAGCCAGGAAACAAGACCTGTGTCGATTGCTCACAGAAGAACCCTCAGTGGGCCTCTGTATCCTACGGTATCTTCATGTGCTTAGAGTGCTCCGGCAAGCACCGGGGTCTGGGTGTTCATATCTCCTTTGTCCGATCTGTCACCATGGACTCATGGTCTGAGATCCAACTCCGAAAAATGGAGTCCGGCGGCAACGAGAAACTCAATAGCTTCTTCTCGAAGTATGGGATTCCGAAAGAGACGGATATTGTGTCGAAGTATAATACCAACGCTGCTTCGGTTTACAGGGACAGGATCCAAGCCCTAGCTGAAGGTAAATCCTGGCAGGACCCGCCGATTGTGAAGGAAAGCTCGATTAAAAACGGTGGTAGTAAGAAGCCTCCGTTGTCGGCGGGGAGTGGCGGAAGGGGTGGAAATAGTGGAGGTTGGGACAGTGATTGGGGGGATAGTAGCTTTGACGAAAGAGGATTCGGATCTCCGGATAACATGCGAAAGAATCAGAGCGTTGGAGATTTTAGAACCGGTGCTAGTGGCGGTGGAATGCCGGCTAGGTCAAAATCTACCGATGATATGTACACGCGGTCGCAATTGGAAGCATCTGCGGCGGGAAAAGAGGGATTTTTTGCGAAGAAGATGGCAGAGAACGAGTCTCGACCTGAGGGATTGCCTCCGTCTAAAGGCGGCAAGTATGTCGGATTTGGATCATCTCCTAATCCGATCCCACGGCCCAACGCACAAGGGGATGTTCTTTCTTCCGTTACTCAGGTACACGTACACCTTACTATTCTTCATCACTGAATTGAAAATTCTTATTTTGTGTCAGATTCTTATGTATACAATCACAATTATACTTAATATGTGATTCAGGGACTTGGTAAATTATCCGTTGTTGCTGCATCTGCTGCTAGTGTTGTTCAAGCTGGCACAAAGGAGCTCACAACCAAGGTCTGTTGATATACATCTTTTTGTATATATGAAACAGTTCAATACAGTTTATTTACACTTTTTTCTCAACAGGTCAGAGATGGGGGCTATGATTACAAAGTGAATGAAACAGTGAATGTTGTGACTGCAAAAACAACAGAAATTGGACAAAAGACATGGGGAATCATGAAAGGTGTCATGGCATTTGCTTCACAGAAGGTTGAAGAGCTCACCACAGAAAATCCCAGCTGGCAAAGAAATGAAACACAGGGAAATGGGTTTTATCAGGAGTTTGGACAGGAACACAAAGGGTTGAATTCTAATGGAACTTCCAATTCCATTCCATCGTCCGCAGGAATCAGCAGTTCCGTTGGCTCATCTGGCAGAAATTCCAACTCTTGGGATGATTGGGATACAGATGGCAATAGGAAGCATGTGTCCACCACACCAACTGCAACTAATGATGATGACTGGGCTGGATGGGATGACCATGACCCTAAAGATGATGGGTATGACAGTTTCTATAAGACCCCATCTTCTGAGGGTAAAACCGGAAAATCAGATGGAAACTGGTCTGGGGCAGGTTTTCTTTAAGGTTAGTGTATCTTTCAAACCTTAAATTTGTTTTGAAAAAATTTCTTTATATTTAAGAGGTTATTGTGCTGGTTTTGTGGTTAAGAAAAATGTATATACTATATATATTGTGTACAATTGTCAACAAAGATGGGCTAATTGCCCAACTAAAAGAGAACCAAAGTTATTTGTTTTTGTGTTGAAATTTGCTTTTGTGTTGAAATTTAAACTTCATTTGTGACTTTGTATCTGTACTTTTGATGTTTACAATAACGATATGCCATTTGTTAGTATAAGATTCCATTAGAGCTCTAATATTTAGCAAAATCATTGATGTTCTATAAATGTTACTTTTGATATCCATGATTCTTGAATCTTGACAAAATTGAATTGTGTTTCGTTAATATTAGATAAAATATTAGACAATGAACTGATAAACATGGAAATTGGAATGCACCTTTGACCAATTTATGGGGCGTTTTGTTTGCAGAATGTCTTGGAAGGAATGGAATCTATCAAAGGAATTGTAATCCCTCAATGCTTTTGGTTGGCAGGAAATGAAATGAAATTCAATAACTAAAAATGAATCATTTTTTTTTTTTTAAATTTTCAGATATAACTAAAATTTATATTTATTTATTTCAATATATATGGTCGGTGTATTTTGGTCTTTTAATAACAAAAAAGGAAGAATGTAATTGAATTCCTTCCACCTACCCCAAGGAATGGTGAAATCCATCAAGCTTGGAATTCCAAAGAATCTGATTGAACTGAATTCATTCTCATTTGGCAAGCAAACACACCATGGAATGGAATCTTGAATTCCAATTCTGTAGGAGGAATCCCCAAACCAAACACACATTATCTTGTATGACAGGATTAATATATTACATTTTATTAGTAGAACAAATGTTGGTCAAACATGGTTCTCTCGGTCTTCTTTAGCTTGATCATGTTTCTGGACCACTAGAACAGAAGATGCAATTTCCTGACCACCGGAAAATGCTAGCAAGTTCCCAATAACTCCCAATTCCAGTGACCTTTCAGCTTCCTGTTCAAGGATTCCAGCAACCATGGTCGCCGGAAACCTCCCTCTGCCTACAATCACAAGCCCAAATTCTTCATTCTGCCCTATTGCAAGTAGCTCCTCCATCATGTTGTGAGTTGACTTCTCAACATATTCGGCTTCCCCATCCCACTGCCTTTTGAACTCTTCTAGCAACCTCTCATCCAGTTCCTGTTAGAGGAATATTTTACATTAATTCATTGAGTAAGTTAAAAGGGTAAATCCGTCTTTTTTACCTTCTCGATATCTATATCATCGGGATGTCTATTATCCTTGCCTTTCAATAGGAACCTAATTAAGGACACCTTAGTATCAGGTTGTGCAGCCATCCTGCCGCCCAACTCAACCGCTTCTCGATCATCCGGACCGCCCACAAACACCACACAGACCCTTTTCCGGTCAAAATCAATCCTAAAGCCGCCACGATCCACCATCAACGCCACCGTGCATGGCGCATGCATAAGCACACTCCTGTTAACAACTTCCCAACTGTGTCCCGTCTCTCCTTCCCGGCACGGTCTGTGTACGGGTAAAATGATAATTGTAGCCCTCTTCCTCTCCGCCACATGGCATATATCTTCGTGCATCGTTGTCAGCGCTGAGATGGCGGTTGACTTCCGCACCTTGACTTTGTTTGACTTTGATCCAACTTCATATCCTTTATTACCCTTGAAGTATGGAACTCCGTTTTTACGGACCCGATGCACCATGGCTATTGATGAGGACATTTCGGTCAGTTCAATTAGGTGTAGGATATAGAGCTTTAGAGTTGAGTAGGTGCTGGGGGATTGTATCGAGTTGATTAGATGGGTCACTGAGGATGCGATTTGTGGGCCATGGACACAGGCGATGACCCGAAGGTCGGATTGTAGGGTTTGTGAATGGTGGGATGATGATTCGCTAAGTGACCGGTGGTGGACTGTGGCGGTGATGTTACGAGCCGGTTTGTATGCCGCCATCACTAGTGGTGTTGTCATGAATGTTGTAACAAGTGCCATCATTACTAGGATTGCAAACATTTCGTCATTGAGTACCTGTTCGAAAAGATATTAGAAACTGGTTTTAGTTTTGGATTATTTTGTCAATCTCCAATTTAGGTTTCAAGAGTAACATTGTAAAAACCGAACCTTCTTCTCCTTGCCAATGTTGAGAACAATAAGTTCAACCAAACCTTTGGTATTCATCAATAACCCCAAAGCAAACGACTCCCTCACTGGAATCATGCATGCCATTCCCATCAAAAACGTCCCAAGAATCTTTCCGGTGCAAGCAGTGGTAATCACCACTGCTAGCAACCCCCACGCCTTCACACCATCTATCTTATTAACATCGGTTTTCAGTCCACTTGAAGCAAAGTACAATGGTAACAAAAGTCCACAAACAAAATCTTCAATCCTCCTAATCAACCTCCCGGAAAATTCCCCGTGCTTAGGAATCATTAATCCGAAAACAAACGCACCAAATATCGAATGGATCCCGATAAAATCCGTCATAAATCCTGATAACATAACCCCCGCTAGAGTCAAACATATGTACCCTTCTTCAACTTTACCATGGTTAGAACACCGGCTAGCCACCCAGTTCATAGTCGGCCGGATTACAACAACCATGAAGATGACAAATCCAGCACCGGATATCAACACCCAAAGTGACGCCAACGGGTTCTGGTGGCTCCCGCTAGCGAGTGCCACTGCAAGAGCCAACAGAACCCAAGCGGCCATATCGTTAAATGCCGCCGCCGCCATGGCCGTCTCGCCTACTGGAGTTGTCAACAATTTTAGCTCGGCTAGTATCCGAGCAAGCACCGGGAAAGCAGTGATGGAGAGGGAAACTCCCATAAACAAAAAGCATTGGGTGTATCCAACTCTATCGGCTCCGGAAATGGCTTTCCGAAGTAGGAATGTGATTCCAATTCCGAACAAGAACGGTAATAAGATTCCGGCTGTGGCGATTACTAACGCTTTCTTTCCACTCCGGCGAATGGAAGTGAGATCGAGTTCGAGGCCTACGAGAAAGAGGAAGAACAAAAGACCGATACTTGCTACTGTTTCGAGGATTGGAGTGCTCCATGAGGGGAAAATCCATAACATAAATTCATGGTTCTTGCCTAAAGCCGATGGCCCTAGAAGAATTCCACCCTGAAAAGTTTCAAAATTATGCATAATTATCCATTTTATTTGTTTTTTAATATTATTAAGATAATCGATCTAAATATATATAATATTATTAAGATAATCGATCTAAATATATGTATGTAAGGCATGTATGAATTATATAGACACAGATATTTGAAGTGGATACGTATTTGCGTATTGCTAATACAATCGGTTGCAAGCATGCAAAGATTGTATCACAAATACATTGTACATGATCATACCTACAAGCTAGAGATGCACAAAGAATGGGCCCCCATGTCTTTAACCGGTTATAACCAGACCCGGGTCAAGAAAATGGTCATTCATAACCGGTTAGGTTTTTAACTGTATCTTTTACATAGCAGAATGACCAAGAAAATTGGCCTTATTAGCTAATAAAGTTATTTTAAAACTTATTAATCAATAAAATTGTCACCAGCCTTAAGAGGGACTAGGGGTGGCAATGGGTTGGGTTGAGTCGGGTTGGGTCCGGTCATAAATAGGTTGATCTGTTTAATTAAATGCGTTGAAAATCTCTATCCAACCCAACATATTTAAGTAAAAGGGTTAATAATTCCCAATCTAACCTAATCTTTTTAGTAAATCGGTTGAAATCGGATTTACTTGTTTATTGTTCTTCCAACCCAACCTATTTACTAAACAGGTTAAACTCGGGTTGATCTATTTAAATTTTTCCAAAAAACCCTTTAAAAATCAAATAATCCAACAAATAAAATTACGAACAACTTAAAAGATATAATAGCTGTTCAACTTGGAAAACACAACAATAAGCTTATAAGCCCATAACACAAGCATTAAGTTACAACCATAAATATTAATGTTTTATTTTTAAATTCTACACAACTCCACTTCCGGTAATTATTATTGATCCGTGGTTTTAATAAATAAAAAATAATCAAAATATAATGATCAACTAAATAATAATAATATAAAAAAATATTTAAAAAGTTTAAACGGATTGACGGGTTATAAACGGGTTATAAATTTCAACACTAATCCAACTCATTTAATTAAACGGTTAGACGGATTGACCTATTTAATTAAACGAGTTCAAAATCTCAACCAAATCTGTTATTTATTGGGTTGAGTTCGGGTTGGTATTTCCACCCTTAAAAGGGACTTTTAAAGCGGTATTAACTCGTTAGACCACCAGACTGGTTTTCAAACTTGTATAGGTTTTTCTTTACCAGTTATATGATGTCAATTAAACGATTACTATGAAACTTAGTTTATTAGTGTGATTTATACCAATGCGACCATCTTTCATCATAAAATAACTATTAAAGAAACTTCGCTAATTTTAGCAGTAAATTAGCAAAAATACTCAAATTCGTAAATATTTTGAAAATCACAAAAAGTAAAATAAAAAATATAAAATTTCATACTTTAGTTGAAACGACTAAGGTGCAAGTTTAGATTGTGAGTTCAAAATTGAAACCATTTTTTTAATATGGAAGCTTAAAAGAAATAAATAACATTTAGTTGCTTTTGTTATGGTTCCATTATATGCATTAGAAACCATGCAACTTATATATGTAGTACAAGTAGTATCTCTTGGACCTCGTGGTTGCAAAACCCCCCTTCTGTATGACTCTCTGTAATTGGCTTCTCCTCTAACTTTTTTCTAGTTTGTTTTTAATATAAAATGGTTGTTAAAAAACAAAAAAAAAAAAAAAAAAAACAATCTTTTTGTTTTTCCTATTAAACATCTTTATCTTCCTCAAGTTTTTAGAATCCGAGTTTTTAAGTTCAGTTGTGATTTTCTTTAAATGCGCGTTATTGTTTACTCAGGAAAAATATATATACCTTGCGAAATATTAGCATATTTCAGTATTTGCTAATCTACGTCTAAAAATAGCAACACAGTTTTGGTAATAAAATGTCTTTTGTGTTTATTAAAGCAACCTAATTGGAGGCCCATAGTATCCTTGTGAATTCACAGGTTCATAGTAACCTTGTGAATTCACAGGTTTTTTTTAATGATTTGGATTGTCATTTTGTGAAAAAGAATATCAGGGATCCACATGCCAACAATATATGAGTGAATAACATGAAAGTAACACTAATACTATTTGTCAAAAAAAAAAAAAACCATTTCCGTAAATTATTACTAGTTAAACCAACATTTCCACAAATTCAAAAATCTCAATAGGACATTTTACAAAACACACACACACACAATAAATAACTAAAATAAAAAATATTGGTTTTTTGAGGTGGTGATCTAGGTTTTTTTTTTTGGTGAAAAAACTTACAAGTATCTCTGCAATTACTTTAGGTTGTCGGAGAGGTTTGAGGAAGAAGGCGAGCAATCTACTGATAAAGATAATTACTGTAGTTTGGATTATCAACAATGGAAATGCATAGTGAAAAGGATTATCTCCTTGCCACACTCCATCCGATGATGTCTTAACCGAGGTTATGTTCAACGCCATTTTTGTATACATGTGATTTTTTAGTTTATGAGAAAGAGTACAAATGCGCATATATATAGAAAGTGATGTGCTAATTGTGGTTTGAAGGTGGTTTGCCTTTTGGGTATTCTCGTTTTCTTTATTAAGAATACTCATGTGTATAGACATACATGTAAAAGAATTAACCACGTAATCTCATATTCTCATATTTTTATTGTGAACATAGATATATGAATAACCAGACATAAATATTCATGTCTAAACATTATTACGTATCTATATTTCAAAAATGAACATATATGGTTTTTTAATTAGGTCCTAT